AAGTATTATGTAATAAAACAAAACTCGGTTCAACCTGTTGGTTGAGCTAGGTGAACTAGACTTGGCTACAAAAATGAGTTGTCAATATGCTACAACCCATTTTGAATAAAAACCCAACAAACCCGGCCGACCCAATAAAACCGTTGGCCAATTTAACTACAGCTCAAAAAAAGAAATAAACCCATTGGCCAAACCTGGTCAATATCAAAATCCTTCTTCTTTTTTTTTTTGTAATTTTAAAAATTTTTACTTTTTATGCATTTTATTTTTGTAATTACATGTGTTTAATTAAATTTAATTATTTAAGTTGCTTTTAAAATAATTTATAAGTTATTTTAAAGTTGATTATGTCTTAAAAATAAGATAATATCAATATATAGTAGTAAAATATATTAAAAAATATTGAAAAAGTTAAAATTTTAATTGATTGGTCAAAGTAACTAATTGAACTAGTTGAACCAAACGTGGTGCTAAAACAAAGTTTATATCTACATTGAACTTAGGGTCAATTGGTTCAACTAGCAACTAGTCAATTGCATTGAATTTAAAGGGATAATTCAATTGTTTAAAAGTATGCAATTTTAAATTAAAGATCTTATATTAGAATCTTAAATCAAGTGAAGAGAGATTTGAGACAAAAAAATTGTTTCTTTTTATATAATCCACCACCAAAATTACAAAAAAAGAAATTTAGTTAAAAAGAAATTAAACAAATTACTATGGACTTGATCATTATATATATTTTGTATCTTAGCCTTTGTAGGAGATAAATACAAAGTATAGGTTATATTTTTTTGTATGATATTTGTTTGACATATTTATTTTATAATTTTTTTAATCTCTATCTTAAAGATGTATTTTTTTTTATGCTTTGAACAATTGTATTTTTTATTATTAATAGTTATAAAAACAAAAATTAATTTCAATTTTACTAATTATCTAATTAAAAAATTCATATAAATTATTATTAAAATAAAATTAATTTTTATTTTGCAAACAAATTAATAAAAATATATAGTAAATATATATTTTTTTTGAACTTAAGGAATTTTTAGAGATGATGAGTAGTGTCTAAGCAGTGAACCAAAAACGAATTCACATAATAGTTTTCATTAAGGGAAAGATCACTAAAGGACCTAATGTTCAAGATAGTATCTATATTCTTAAAGGTTTGTAAACCCTTTATTTATTTTTCA